TATCAACCACATTTGAAAGTATTGAGAAATGAAATACTCGAACCCTTAATGAGTAATAAAGTCATATTGATAATTTTTAGAGTAAGCTAGAATTTGTGGGGGAGATTATGGTCACCACTTTCTCATTACTTTACCACATAAAGGTTTTGGACCGTAGAAATGTGGGGGTGTTTTGACTAAGGTAAATTGAACAAAGTTGAACATGTCCAAATAACGTAATAATGTTCAATGATAGTGCACAAGATTGTCATTCTTGATGCAAATAAATGTACAATCTTTGAAATTAAATGTGTTTGAAAAATTGGATTTTGACCCAAGTTTGACATAAAATTTAAGTGGATTCCATTTGATAAGTTATGGAATAAAAATCTACATTTTGACTAGATAAATCTAGTATGTTTAATTTCTCAAACACGACTTGAGGTGAATGAGAGATTAATGTATAGGGAGGTGAAAAGCCACCATCCCACATTGACAATGAGCTACATTTAAAGCACTTTATTAAGTATAAATGATTAGTTAAAGATATATCTCTCTATGAGATCAAGTGGTAATTTATAAAGTGATAAATAACCAAACGCTCTATGAGATCAAGTGGTAATCTATAAAGTGATAAATAACCAAACGCTCAATAAAAGAGAGCTAAGCAAATCAACAGTTTGATTTTGATTTTCTAATTTATGAATTAGAATATGAACTCGGGCAATTAATGAAGTATTGTCCACTTGGTGTTAATTGTCTTTGAGACAAAGGAAAAATAAGTGAAACTCGTATAGTATGAACTTAAATAAGTTCTAAAGCAATTGCATATTTGATAAGAATTTGTTATCAAATAATTTTAAACTTGGCAAGTTTAAAAAGTACATGCACATTAGAGTACATGTTTATGAGTAAATGACATGTTAATCATGTGTGTAATCATGGTATAATCATGAAAACTTATGAATATTAGTAAAATATTTCAATGTGAAAAATATGGTCCTATTGATGCAATCTTATAAGAGATTAAAATCATTAAGGATTTGATGAATTATTAAAGTCTCGTTATGTTGAGACAATATTGTTATATTGAAGTCATCAATATAAGACTATAATGGTGAACAATGGTTCAACTAGAATATTCTTGAAGAGATTGTAGTTTTATGAACTACATGTTGATTGACTCATTAAGAAAGTCAAGTAAATAGGTAATCATATATGTAAACGTAAATTACATTATAGAAGATATCCAATTGTACTTGAAAAGTGAATTCTTATGAATTGGATATGTGCTACTAAGATACTAAGTCCATAAATCTTGGTATTCCTCAAAATAAAGTGGTATAGCTCGATTCACTACGGAGTTCGAGTTATAACTTGAAAGTTAGAGAGAAATGTTCGATAACTCCATAATTTTCCAGAGGACATTATGTGATGGACTTAGTTGGTGCTTGAAAATAATTATAGTAGTCAGTTGGCTATAAAAAGAAAAAGCACAAAATAATATGTAAAATGGTAAAGTCTCGATCGTAGACGTAACACCATTTAGCAATTGATCTCTAGAGCAATTATAAACGTTGACTTTACGAATTCAAGAGATAATTTGATTGATCTTTGCCGAAGGAATCAATAGAGATCAAATGTGCTAGTTAGTGAGGGGAATGGGTCTATAAACCCACAACTCAAACGAAAATGCATGATGGTAACTCAACCTTGTAGATTGGAGATCCCAAGATCTTGGTTCAATGGGACAACTAAGTTATGGAAATTCAAATCGAGCACTTGAAAATAATTCCTACCATTCCCTAAAATCCAAGTGCTACCTGTCGAATGTGGTGAGGTTAAGTATAGTGACTTTTAATAATTCCTATGACCTTTTAAGGTGGAATACGGCAGGGTATTCATTATGGGAGATCACCTATATAAGTGTGAAGTATAGGGCCGCTTCAATGAAACACTTATGAATCCAAGAATTGGTTCAAGGCCGAAATGAACACAACGTGAGAACAAAAGACGTTAGAGATGTTATTGTGTAAGTGTTGTTGTCTTGGTTTACATAAAAGTTGATTAGTTCAAGACATCGCTTTCACTAAGCAACAAGTAAATCCGATAACATTTTACTAAGGAAGGTTCAAAGTCATAAGCTACCTCTCCCGATGCAATAACAAATCGCTTGGACTTTGAATGTGTCTGCATGCATTAATTTCATTCATGTGGGGATTGTTGAAAATTTTGAGTGTTAGCCTCAATTTTGGTTGATTATTTAAGTGGATTAAATTTAGTTTCTCAAAATTAAATGAATGAGAAATTAATAAAATCACTTAATATAATAAATGCAAAATAAAGAAAGTGAAATGTCACATTGAAAAAGATGGAGGTGTTTAAACACCTATTAAATTGAATAGTTGTGTAGTTAATGAGAAAATGTGTGATACTTTTCATAAATTATTTTCCTAAGAGTTGCGACTTGTGGTCATAACCTTTGAAAATCTATAAATAGATTCCAAAATCCACCATTTGATTAATTCATTTTTCACATGGAATTCAATACATTAATTGAATTCACTTCTCATCATAGCATCTCATTGCATATTGTTGCATTATCAAGTCCATTTCTTCGTGTCTTATAAAGTCCTAAACGTCGTTTTGTTCGCCGTGTTCCAATAATTGGTGTGCTACTCTATTGGAACTAAAATAGTCGTTATATCTTGGGAGACAATTGCCGTAAACCGAGAGCATTGTACGGGGCAAATTTTTCTTAAGGAGAAAGAACCTAGTTCTTGCATCGACTACATTTTCGTGTCAAAATTCTCTCCAAAAATTTTGTTCTTTCTCTTTTCGAAATACACACACCCATATAACAACCCATACAAATTTTGATTCAATGAAGCAACTTTCAAGCACTTCAGTCTGTGATTCTTTTCTCCTCTGCCGCCTTCGCATGTTAAGTTTTTTGTGTTTTCACGAGTACTTGAGTTTTCAATACTTTTTCATTTTTAATTTTCAAATTTCTTTAGTTCCACAGTTAACAAAAAAACAGGGAAAGATATGCCAGTCTGTGTGACACATTTTAGAAGGGATTCGTGTTCCATTTTTTAAATAGTCTCTACATGGTCCGAGAAATTAGGCATTTCTCTTCATTTATTAGACATGTGTATAAAAAACGAAATTGATTGGAAGTTTGATTTATTATATTGTATTTGATTTTCTATTTTTTTTCTATGTAATTTACCGAACAATATTGGTATTGCTATTTTCCTTTTTTATAATGTTACCCCATGCATCGCACGAGAAAAAATACTAATAATAATAATAATAATAATAATAATATAGTATAGAATATATATATATATATATATATATATATATATATATATATATATATATATATATATATATATATATATATATATATATATATATATATATATATATATATATATATATATATTCTACACTATATTATTATTATTATTATGTGTGTGTGTATGTGTGTGTGTGTGTGTGTGTGTGTGTATGTTTAATGTTGAAGAAGTAAAAAAATCATTGTAACAAGAATTAAAAATTTTATTGTCATATTTCAAATACAATTTTAATTGGGATAATTTGACAAACCCCCATTAAACATGCCTAATTAAAAGGAGCCCAAAGTATGTTTGCAACGTTAAGATAAATCCAAAACATTTTTTAATTACTATAAAAATACAATGTCACAATAATATCTTTAGTCCCTATGAAAATAGAAATATAAAAAGATACATTACAATTAGCCCAATAAATTAAATTTAATCATTTAAATTGAGATTAGAGGAGCAATTAGTGTTGGATTTTCGTATGTTTGCTCCAGATTCTTCCCCTTCAACAAGGCGACTTTGATCAGTGTTTCCATATTCGGTACGTCATAGTTTTGAGCAACGTATGCTTCTCCAATAATCCCTAGCACAAATATTAGTTTGCATCTCATGAATACTAATTTCTTTTTTCTGCATTTCCAATTGCTTTTTTGTCCACTCGGGTATTTTTAATCTAGTCTATTTCTTCACTTTCCCAACTCTTTTCTCCCGAATCTCCCCTGACGCTCCTATTTTTTTTTCAACAATCGTTGTCTTCCCTTTCTTTTCTCTCTACCGTCAACGCCCTCTCTTTTCTCTCGACCGTCGCCCTCATATGTTGAATTTATCTCCCAAAGTGTTTTCGACATTTCCACTATTGCACATAGTGGTTTTCGCCATTTCCATTTATTAAATTCACTATTTGTGCAGATTGGATTTTGACACATCTATTAAATCCACTATTAACATTAATATTTAAAGTGGATTACGTTAATTTCATAATAAATTTTACGTTAATTTCATAATGAATTTCGATAAATTTTAAATAATTCTTGCTTTCATGGAGTAGTGGATTTCAAAATTTTACTTGAATTAAATAGTGGATTTCAATTTTAGTAAATTTCATTTTTTGGTAAATTTGTTTTGAAAACAGACACTAATTATTAATTTTTGCAACGAAATTAAAAAAAAAACATTGAAAATTAAAAAAATGAAAACAACATTAATTGAAATGAGGCATTTTTTTTGGGAGAGATTATGATAGGATTCTAAATTAAGGTTATTTGCATATCTATAAATATTTTAATTAATTTTTCATAACAATTCAATAGGGCAAATTTGATATTTTGTCATGAATGAGGTTATCTCAAATATTTGGATTTACATTTTGGGTTTATTACTCTACTAAAATTGAATGAGGGAATTTTGTCAAATAGCCCCATTTTAATAACGAAATGTAAACAGATCTAGTGCAATAGAACTTTATCATTATTCAAATATTTATTGAGTTTACTTAGTCCCAATTCCATTTGGCATCTTTGGTTAGTAAATACTTTAATAATGTTATGAAAAAAAAAACTGATAATTTTGGTTTTCTGTGTATATAGAAGGAAAAGACAATAGTTGTTAGGTGGAAAACTAATTGGAATCTAAAGTGAAGGAAATCAACAAAACATGATGGAAACCAAAGAAATAAATGGCAAGAATTCATAAGCATTACAATTTACATGCAAAGAAAATCTTGTAATTAACTATATATGATCTAGCAACCATTCGAAACTCACATTCATTGAGAGCTAAAATGCAGATAAATATATTATCGATCAAAAAAATGCACAATCCAACGCAGATGTTTCATGATCATATAATTTCTGATCAGAATATTAATAAATTAATTAATTAATCATCCTATATAAATAATTATTAGAGCTAACAAAATGACAGAAGCTGAATGGAAGTTGTTTGAAAAAAAGTATCAGCAGCTATTTGTTGGAGCTATAAAAAAACAGTAGGCGTGGGTGGCTTTAACGTGTAGAAGAGATTTTCACATCGAAACAGAGAAATGTACACAAGCTGCACATTGGATATATAGTTCAAATATACATCGAAACAATATGTAATGCTAATTCGCACGAATTATGGACATCTTATGAAAATGTGCAAAGTAACAGGTGGTTTATTTTCTTATGTGTATAGCTGCTGCAACTGCAACTAGAAGATAGAGTAGTAGTACCTAACAAGCATTTTACCTACATATTCCAGCAACAATACGATGTATGTTACGTTGTCGACATCATATTAGTGGCCGAATCAGTTTTGAGGCCTTTATGACTTTTTTGGTCCACCTGTGCTGGTTGACCAGCTCTAATGATCTTTCAAGTTTATCACAAGCTTTAGAAAGATCCTCCTCCGTGATCGGAGATTCGTTCTTCAGGGCAAATATTACCTCATTGAAATATTCTTCCAGCTCGAGGGATACGAGGCTTTTGCCAAATACCTGCATAACAAATTAACTTTGGAATCATCTTTCTTTCTTTTTTTATTACTTTTATTTCTCAAAAAAATTAAACACACCTTCTTTAAACTTGAATATATTGGAACCTTCGCAGTTGAGGACTTCGAGCCCAAATATATGACGAACAAACCTTCCTTAGAAAGGCAGTTTTTCGCGTTCTGAAAAAAAGATTCCTCAACAAAATCTGCTGCAGGGCAGGCCAAAGCAGATCTGCACAGTAAAAGTAACAAGATAAAAAAAATGAAAACTCGACAGAGCAGAATAATAAAGATGATATTAAAAGCCGCATTATTGCCTTATGTTTGGCGCGTCGACATCAACTATGAGTATGTCTAGTTTGGAAGTGGATTCTCCTTCTGCATGAACCACAGTACAGTGCAAACCTTCAGTAACTCGTAGTTGAGCATATCATTCTTTGTTCGTGCAATCGACTTAAACTTTTTTTGTTACCTGCCCCAGAATCTGCTTTATCCCTCACAAACTGTATTCCATCAGTTACACGTACCTGAAGAGGAAAGATAGAGAAATAAAGGCAACAGGGAAAAGAATATTAGCATCTTGTAAGATTTCATAATCATGAATTCATGACGCGTGCATTTTTGTAACACAGTGTAAGAAGAATATTAACTTCTACATATTACCCGTAAGTTTTCATCTTCTTTAAAACCGAAATGTTCTTTAGCAACATCCAAAACCACCTGATCTAGCTCGACAACCTGTGAAGAAATCAAGAATTTGCACGAGGACATATAGCAGAATAAAAATGGTACAAAGTCGTTCAGAGTTTCATTATGCCTCAATGTTTAGATTAGGTATCCAATTCTTCATAAACATAGGAAGCAATCCTCCTCCAAGACCGATAACCACTGTTTCCACCTGGAAAAAGGCACCTTCAGTTTAAGATCGTATGAAAAACAAAGCTACCAGAACCAAAAATTCCGACTGCTCCAAGGCATTATCGGCCTAAACCTACTATCTTTTTTTGATTCTCGCGTTCGTTTATTTTTTCAATACTCATACATCAATATGACTGGCAAATTGAAGTTACATCAAGTGAGGTTAGCTTTTTCCTCCATGTTGAGTAACATTTAAGCTAAACAAGAGAAAGTAGATGGCTCACCATGCCCCGAGTGGAGCTAGATTCTTTCAGATGTAGAGAAATCAACATCAATCCAGAAATAATCGCATTCTGGTACGGAAGTGCCAAATAGTTGTGATCAACTTTCCTTTCGTTTCTTGATGCTGCCCCGTCCGCATCTATGACAATTTAGTAAACAAAGATGAATAAACATTGTGATTCCTTAGTAATATTTAACTGTAAAAACTAAAAAGTGTATCTAAATGAGCTAACACATACGAAAGTAATTGAGCGAGAACATTATCAATATAATCTTCCTTTGCAACATGAATCCTAATAAATATTTGAGATTGTAAACACAATGCAGAACCATGCAGCAGCTGTAAGATACTAACAATCTGAACTGCTACTTAATCTCGTCTTATTAGCACGAAAAGATGCTTCACTAGAATCATTTTTACATGCAAAGACTTCCAATCTCAGCCGCTAATTAAAACACCTCCGGTTTAGGATATAAACCTTTTGGTACTATACTTCCGACGAGACCTAGAGACCATCTTAATTATGAGAAGGCAACAAAAACAGTGAGATGGATATTCCTACTACAAGCAGGATATAAAGTCATAGCTGAAAATAAATTATCAGCTAAATCATGAGAAAGTTGAACTGTAAACACTAAGAAAGAGGTCAGAGAATGAGATCTCTTATTAAAATGGACCCCCCACCATCAGCCTTCCTAGATGGGCGAAAATAGGATCTCTTCTGCTTTCCTTTCTTCTTCACTTTCCTTGGTTTTGAAGCTTTCTGCACTTCGTTTTCCTCAGTTAAAGGTTCTGCAGTTGGATCAGTTTCTTCACTTGATAAAAGAGCTTCTGACTGCACCACACCCGGGGATCTTTCGAAAGTAAGGCGGCGGAATACTAGTTCTTTATGTTCAGATTCGCAATCAAGATCTTTAGATTCAGATAGGAAATCAAGATCTTTATTATACTTATCAAGGTTACTATAGATCACTTCATCTACAACAATTGGACCCGTCACTGTAGATTTAACCTGATGGATTAACCAAACAAATGAAACATAAAAAAATGAACAACAGAGCTGTGAACTTAGAGCCACATATTTGCATTTCAGAATAAACATCTCTCATAATGGAATAAGTTGATTCTCCTAAAACAGGAATCGATCGTTAAAGTTCACAAGTCAAATATATTAGTCTCTTTCTTCCTTCCCCTTTTCTAGTTAATGAAATTCAGTTACCTCAAGGACCATTGGTAGACATTACCAATGTCTACCAACGTATGAATGTTGTAATTTCATAACTATTGTAATCATGAGAACCAGACTACAGAAGTTACTTATTCACAGGAAAATGGAAAGAAAATAATGATTATAGATCTCGCAAATAGAGATAAGAGATAGTAGTTTCCCAACCTGCTTTACATTAAATTTGCGCCAAATTCTGTCATTTACGGTCAGAAACCTGAAAAAGATCCATTTATCATAACCTCTACACGTGGAAAAAAAGGATAAAGTTCTGAAACCAAGAAGCCAGTCAACCAGCCTTATCTTCTTTTAAATTTCTTGAATCTTAAGCACCTAGCATAATTCCACTCTCCTTTGTTTCAAATGCTTCCGTTTTTGTTCCCCCAACAAAAATGGTAAAGAATTGCATGTATCATACAGTTCTTGAATCCTCTTACGGAAAATGTAGTCTCATAGATGCCATCACAATACCAATATCAAACACATGCAAGGTATCAAGGCCGATATCCAGAACAAACTATGGTCTTCAAATTTTGTATGAACTAGCTCGTTGTATTGATTATCAAAACATGACGAAACATAAACTGAGATCTGGTTCACATAGACGGTATTGCCTAGCTTGGTGTCACAACCGAACCAAATGTATTAAACCATTTTAGTAGGAGAACTTGCACATTCTAGACTGCATCTAAAAAAGATGACAGATGCAAAATAACAATGGTTCTAACTGATGCAAATTTGTAAGCTACAAACAGAAAAAAACACGCCAAATATCGATATATCACTTTTCAAGTGTTAACCACTCACACGAGATGAAAGCAAGATCCAAAAGAACTACACAAATGAAATCTACTATTGGATATCCTATTAATGAATAAATAGCTGTTGATCAGCACTTACGGAATTTCAACTTCATTCTGACTGAGATTTGGAATTAATTGCTTGAGTGAATGATCGAGCTCAATCTGAAATAAGGAAAACCAAATTTTTAAGAAGGCACCAAATTTCAAATGTAATGCAAGCGAAAAATTTACAGCTATTGAAAGTACAGCTGGATGTTACCTTCAAAATCTCCATGGAAGACCAAAAATTCATCGAATCGAGTAAAATCTAAAACAATCCAAATAATTTTATAATTAAAAGAAAAGATAAAGGAAGAAATTTAAATAAGTTTATCCGTGCAGATAAGATCTTACAATCAGTAATCTACAAGCCTGTGATTTTGCGAGAATGAGATTTTGTCCTTCTTCTGATGAGAAGAGCCAGTCATCAACTCGTATCTGAAATTTAGAATTTAGTCACATGACAGTTGTCTCTTGCACCAGAGGAACAAGAGACAAGAGAACAATAAATAAATAAAGATAAACAAAAATAGCAAATGGTGCATACTAGTTGAAGCTGCTTCAGTTGGGATTACCAAAGGCATAAATTAAATGGAAGCAATTTTGTCCTTCTGACAATTGTTGAATAATAAATTAAATGACAAACAAACAAGCTCCAAGATGTCCGAGAAAAGTAAGATAAAAGAACTTACATATGGAACAATTAATACAGCCATGGGAGCCTTGAAAGGTCCTGAATCCTTCTGAGCATCAATAAGTATACCCTTATAAAAGGTGGATCCTTTTGGTTCACCTAAAATTAGTTTTATTCTACGACCTTCTACAAGCACATGGGGGTTTCCGTTCTTCCCAACATCTTTAAGTGAGTATAATGTATCACTGCCACTGGAGTACTCTAATCGAACCTTTTGTTCTTTTTCAACGGCTTCATAGAATTGGCGAGCCTAAAGCACGTTGAGAAGGTCAAATCACATTCTACAGATATAACAGTAAACTAGCAAAAAGCATCAAAAGCACTCAACCTAAAAGAGAGAAAAAAGTGAAAATGCTTTTACCTGATTACCGTGGGATCCAACAGAGTATTCATCCATGTATGATGATATCATAGAAACAGAAGCACAAATGTCTTTCTCAACAACCACCATAAAGGTCTGCAGTTTAGAGGATGGTTCCTTAGGAACGGTATAAAGACTCATTTTCCATCCGAACCGGAACATGGAGAAAAGTAGATCTGAGGAAAAGAAAATACCATGTAAAAATAGAATCGCACAACACAAAACATATGTTTGATTACAACATCCAAAGCTCTTAACCAATACCTGACACATGTGATTCACCTAAGGTGAAACAAATATATTTTCCGCCAGCTTCTAAAATCCTCTTTACCTGGTAATGCACAAAACATAACAGGTAAGTCAAACTTTTCGACCACTCAAGGAACCAAGGATCCAAGTCGGCATCACTTTCAATTAACGTACGTCAGCCAAATACAGACTCCCCTCTGTAGCTCTAAGCTCATCCACCATTAATGTATCCAATCCTGCCTTGTCGATGATGACATCCATGGTCTTACTATCGAACTGAATGGGAACCAAAATCATTAAATCGTTAGAACTGAATGGTAAAGAAGAGAAGGATATGATTACGCAGCTAAATGAACGTGAACAAAATAAATATTTAAAAACAGTAAATAGCTAGCAGAACTGGCGGTATCCATATAGCATTGGTGGTTGTTGATCAACAGACCACAGAAACTACTTCCACATTAACTGTTTTAAACACTGTTAAAATATATTTAATCAGTTGTCTCAGCACTTCTTCCATATTAACTATTTTACCCAAATTTTTTAAGTGGCAATTTGGGCTATTACGATGGCCATTCGCCTAACTTAACCCCCCGTAGAAAAAACATCTGAAAATAGCACATAAAACTATTTTATCATTTTGAAATGAGGCCTCCAATAATCAAGCTATTTTTGTAACTATTCACAACAACCAGTTCTTCAGATAAACCATATCATCATCAATCAGTCGGCAGCAGAAAACGACAATAACTTCCTAGTATAATTCATTTCATTTGCAAACATGTCTTCGACAAAAAATAAAATAAAAAACCTCGACAAACCAATTAATTCAGATCCTCTTTACCATCAACGGAATGGATTATTTATTACTTTCTGATAAACTCAGGAAATACAACGACGTCCAATAATGAGTATGGACTTATGTTTGTCCCAAATCAGCTAAAAATCGGCACTCGATCTTCTTAATCCAATTACCGTAATACAAACTCCGACTCCAATTGCGTGGGCATGATTTAAATTGTTTTAGACGAAGAAGAAAATAGCAAAATTACCTGCATATCTGTAATATCCATAACATGCCACACCATCTCCGGCCTCTCTGTCAGATTCCTCTTCCGCATTTCATGAATCACCACCTTCGAGAAATCCAGGTTTATTATCCCCGTAAACCCATCATCATACAAATGCTCCGACAGCTTCGAGTTCCCGCATCCAGGCACCAGAATAACCAGCAACCCCGCTTCAAGGGCCACAGGCGCCTCGCCGGCGGTTTTCGGCAGTAGCGACGGCGGCGATAAGAGCTGTTTCGTGAGTAAGCTCTGGAGCTGGGGCCAATCGGCGTACCACTCGAACGAATCGCCGCTGCCTGTCATGGCGAAAAATAGGTCCCATTCCTCTTTGCTCGTGAATTCGCGAACGGACTTGAATAGATCTCTGCTGTTTTTCGGTGGTCGATTTTGCTGTTGCTTCTTCTTCTTGCCCCCCATTTTTTTTTTTTTTTTCTGAGACGATTTGGTACTGCGTGTTTTTGGTGGAAATGGCGGTTATTGGATTTTCAGAGGGGGGGTTGCTTTTATAATGTTGAATAATTTTCGATTTGAATTGAAAGGAAGAGAGAGTGATGAAGTTAAATAACGCGCGGTAATTGGAATAATCGAGAAAGATTCATACAAGCACCGCAACTGTATTCAGTTTTTTTTTTTTCTAATAAAATAATATGGGTTTTATTTTATTTTTTTAAATTAGAGAAAAAACAGGTGTCAAAAGCAACAAACTCGAACATTTTCTATCACGTGTTATTTTGCTAAAGAGAATATATTAGGAATGGGATATCCCATTAGTTAATTAATTAAATAATTAATTTTTCTGGATTTGGACGTTCGATAATTTACGTGTCCTAAGTTCGAACCTAATTATCGACGTCCAAGACCTTAGGCGCTTCGAAATTGGACGGGATAGGATATCGAATAGTGTTTGCATGTTCAATTTGTTCTCATGAGGAAATGGACAATTTACAAGAAGTCCTTACAAGTCGAAAATCATATAGAAATGGAACTCATATTCTTAGATTTTATTTTAGATTTATGATTACTTGGAGAGATTCTTCAATTTTAATTCCGCTTCAATCTATTCAATAGTCAGAGTAAGCGCTTTTTGATAGTTTCATCATCTATGATTGAGTTGCGAAAACTTTTGAATGTGCATCTTACATGCGTACCCAATTTATTTATGATGAAATACTATCTTCTAGTTGTTTTGGAAAAAAATGGGAAATTTTATAAAAGAAATATGAGCTTCTGACAACAACATACTTGGTCTCGATTACAGTTCGGAGGCATAACATGTATTCATGTGTGCTTAAGGATCTGGAGTTTAATCCCATAAATATTGTCACTGGCAGGGAGAGTCCACCCAAGGGCTAGGGACGACTCAAGTGCCTTCACTTTTAAAACTTTATCTCTTATATATATACTAGAAAAGGACACTGTTTTACATGTGTTTAGTTAAACATACATTTGAAATCAATATTATAATTGCATGTGTGATTTAAAATGAATGAAACATTGTTATAAAACTCTTACAGGTTACAATTTGATTCCATGATTCATTTACAATTTTCAAATGATTCTTATGAGAAATTATATTCAACATAACTCTATCATATATTTTTTTTTATTTAGTGTGATTTTAATTTACACATTTTTTTACGATACAGTCAATTTGTGAATCTAATATGTAGAAAGAATTACGACATCAAGAATTTATTTTTGCCGAATCGATCAATGAAATTTTACTAAAATACTTTACTTTAAGTAATTATTATCAATAACTTTTTTTTTTAATTATATCTCACATGCATCTCTTTATATTCTTTAAATATATTTAATAAACAAATGTAAGGGTGAATGTAAAATTCATTATTAATATCCCTCTGACCTTAATAAAAAAAGGACTATCAGAGAGAATCCCATCTAGCATTTTTTTTAATGAGAGTGGATACTTATTAGTAGTAGATCTAGTTATTTTTTATTCCAAATTTACCCTCCTACTAGTCCCTACCTATAACCAATTACTTGATATTTTTTTCTTTTCTTTCTTTTTTCTTAATTCGAACTTTTGTTTATTTATTCTTATTTCTTCTTCATCCTACCAACAAACCCTCCTAAAAAATCTCAAAACTAAAGAAATCAAAAACCTTACACAACTTGCAAAATGGAGTCAAATAACAATAAAATGGTAGTTTACGAGCAAGGAGAACCCATTAAGGTATGTATCCATGTCTTTTTTGAGCTTAAAAGTCAATTTTGAAGATTTTTTTTTAGCCCGACATAGATTTTCGACACATACATGTCGAATTTTTGGTCATTTTTTGACACCAACTTATCGAAAATTGTATTAAAAAAAACCAAATTCGGCACATCTATGTCGAAATTTCTCAAATTTTTGACAAGTATGTGTCAAAATTGTTTTTTTTTTTTAATATAATTTTTGACAAGTTGGTGTCGAAAATTGACAAAAAATTCAACCTGTATGTGATGAAAATTGTAGGCGAATTTCAAAAAAAAAAAAAAAATCTAAAAAATCGATTTTGAAGCTCAAAAAAGACATGAATGCATACATTAATGGATTCTCCTTCCATGTAAACCACCATTTTATTGTCTTGTGACTCCATTTTATAAGTTTTGTTAGGTTTTAATTTTTTGAATTTTGAGATTTTTTGGAGGGTTTGTAAGAAGTTGAGGATGAAGAAGAAGAGAAGGTTGGGTTTGGGTTTCGGGGAGAAGAAGAGAGGGTCTGGGTTTGGGTTTGAGTTTGGGGAATAAGAAGAGAGTTTTTTTAATTTTTTGTGTTGAAATGAGAAAAAAAAAATAGTTTTTTGTGTAAATTGTATTTTGTTTGATGATGAGGATATTTCAGTACTTTGCTATTAAAAAAATATTTGTGGTATTAATCTAAGAAAAAATGTAAAAACTTCTCTAAAATATAGTATTAAACTTGGTGGTATTGAAATAAGAAATTTTTAGTAATAGTTCCAGCCATCCCTTTTTATTAAACAATCAATGCCAAAACAGGATTCACACAAGAGCCTTCTGAACTTACAAAGTTTGTAAAGTAAGCTAAAGCGTGAGCAAGGCTAACCACTGTTGGGTCCCGACAAAGCATGTTGAGCCTCGAACAATGGAACACCGAGCCTCCCACTTGGAGCTCGTCGAGTCGCCTGCCATTTGCGCACCGAGAGCTCACCATCTTTGTTCCGCACCGATGATTCGGGAATTTCGCACAGACTCCGACAATTTCCACCACATGGTTAGTTGTGGACCATAGCTCTATACCACTACTGGGTCTGGGTCCCGCCGGAATAGCACAAACCCCACATTGGTATGATATTGTCAAGATTGGGCCGAGTCCAACTGGTTTTGCTCTTGTGTTTCCCCGAAAGACCTCATGCCAATGGAGTTGTTATCGCTTCCTTATAAAGGAGTGAACTTTCCCATATTAAACCAATGTGGGACATTGTTTGCACCTCGACAAAATTTATTGAGGTTGTGCCCCAATGTGTTTTGGGCCTGTAGCCCAAATTCTCCTTTTCTACCTACACACACCACTATTGAGAAAGGCCTATCAGCGGATAAGCCCATTTGTTGGAATGTGCTGGAAGACTTAATCCTAGCCCTAGGATTAAGCCTTGTGATCCTGGCCATTGATCTTGTCCGACACTCCCTCTCCCTTGTACTCTATCGCCCGTTTTGTGGCCTAGGCAGTCTATGTTCTCCCTCTTTGTTCCCTTCTACTCTTTACTCATTTTGCTCCAGCAGCCATGGGTCAAACGCCGTCGTTATTGGCCGTGCTTGCCCCAGTGGTGGTCCCTTCGACGATTACCTTTGACTGGAGCTCCTATTTGATGCGGGGAGTGGAGTGCAGAAGATAAGACCTGGAGAAAAACCCTAGTTTGTCATGCCTTGTCCCTCTCTTCTGTGAGTTGGATCTGTGGTGAGTGGTGGGTTGTTGAGTGTCTCGTTTTCTTGGTCTTGCCTCTGATCTGGGTTGGCTAGAGTGGAGAGTAAGAGATATGTTCTCTGTTGGTGCAATCTCAATGGTGTGTAAAAAGGTTGAGATCTTAGTGGATCTCTGGTGTGAATCGGTTTGAAAGGGTGAGTTGTGATTTGTTCACTATTATTTTTGATCTTTCATTTTCTATTTACTTTTGTTTATCTACGTTTGTAATCTCAGTTCTAACATTTTTGTGTGTTTCTGAGATCATCTGTTTATGTAAGATTCTTCGAGTGGAAACACAACAACCACCATCGCAATTAAGTAAAAAGCTTTGCTTGTAGGGAAAGCCGCGTCAATATTGATCGTCACAATTCCTTCAGGTGGATTCAACCAAGATGATTGATGTTGGCGCCGATTTACCTCATGGACGCTAGCCGTTTCTTCTCCGTGCAAAATTAGGTTATGTCGTTCCCACGCCTTCAAACTAATCACAACTGCCAGCAGAAATTCAGCCTTCCGGTTTGATTTTTGAAGGAATTCGAGCGGAGGGAAAATTTCCAACAAAATGTAAATTAAACGGGTGGATCTCCACACATCCTCCATTCCCCGACACTTGAAGATAACATGCATAATAGATTCACCTTTATTTGTACAGACCGTGCAATAAGGTGAAGAACCAATTTTCCGACGAAACAATTCCGCATTGGTCGGAAGAATGTCCAAGCAGGCTCGCCATAAGAAAACCCTAATTTTCGGGGGCACTTTTAGGTTTCATATAAATTTCCACAAATAATTTGACTCACCACTAATTGATCCTTCTCTTTTCGTCACGAGTGCGCTGCTCTCTTGACTGTTGTGAAACTAGAGCTTGATAGCATGTTCTTGCCATAAATTGACCCTTTTTTGACAAATGTCAAAAATGGGTTTGTCTTTTGCAAGTAGGCTTTCAACGGGAACAACCATGATTCTTTCCTTGTTTACCGGCCAAAAGATCTCATCAGTAAGATCGGATTTCCAAGATCGAGTGTCTATGTCGATTAAGTCGCCTACTTTGTCGGGAAAAGCTGTGTGAATGGGAAATACTTGGGAATGCCGGCGGCATCAATGGGAAAATGAAGAAAGGATATTTTCAGATTCCTCAGAGATGGTACATGGGCTAGAATCAAAGGATGGGGAGAAAAACAGTTGTCTCAGGCCAGAAAAGAGGTTTTAATTAAAGCGGTACTTCAAGCAATTCATTCCAACATTATGAGTTTTTTTTTCTCCCACAAGGACTTATTCGAGAGGTTGAGTCGGCAATTCAACGGTTTTGGTGGAAAATGGTACGGATCAGCCAATGCTTTGGGTTGCCCGGAAAAAAAAATGTGTTTTTTGCCAAAGAGTTAGGGGGTATGGGTTTTGATGATCTCAAATGTTGTAACTTAGCTCTCTTAGCCAAACAAGGGTGGAGAATATTAACACAACCGGAGCTTCTTTTGTCTAGAATTATCAAAGCTCGTACTTCTCTCATTGAGATCTTTGGTCTGCCGTTCCGGGATCACGACCGCGAAACGGCAACTTGGCGAAGCATCGCATGGCCACACCTTGATTTGGGGGGCCTATGGCTAATGGATGATAGTAATTTTAGAATTCTTACCACGCGCTCTTTTTCTTCGGCATTTCTGCATACGGTTTCAGATCTTATTTATTAATCAAGTAATTCATGGAATTTGAGTGTGATTAATTCGACTTTTTTGGCCTATCGATGTGTATAGAACCCTAGCGATTCCTGTTGGCGGTTTTTTGGCGACGGACAAAATTATTTGGCCCATACAAATACGGGCAGATTTTCGGTGAAATCATGCTATCACAAAATCATATCGAAGCGGATTGAGAATGTTACATGGCGAGGAAGGGATGAAATTGAAGGAACTTGTGGGCTGGTGCTCTTCTTTCCAGACTTCGTTCCAACAAGCACAGTTGTCGACCATCTCACCTAAAGCGAATCAACACCTTACCAATGTTCCGCCAGCGGGTACAATCAAGGTAAATTTTGATGCTGCAATTTCCTCTAGATAGGGATTTTTATTAGCCTAATATATGCCTTGGTTTTTTCCTCAGAAAAAAATATATTTTTCAGTTGGGCAAAATATTTAAAATGACAACAGATTATAGATAATCAAAAGTCGAAATTAAAGGGAATAGCTGTACCATGAGTGCTTTTGTCATTTTGAAGCCAAATACGCAAATTTATCTTATATGAATAATGCAATGAATAAACCGGTCGCAACCATATAGACAAATGCACACAAGCTGCTAATCGGATAGTTCAACTAAACAATACTAGCTCGTTTGAGTAGACGATGCACCGTATTCTGACCTGTGCTAGTTCAGACGAAATGAAGATATGGAAATGTGAAACAGCTGGTTGCTTCCTCGCCTTTATGTAAAGCTGCAATTTGAATATATATTTTCTTATATCTGTAACCTAATATCCCAAGACGAATCGAGAATTGCGTAATATTTCTCAAAACTTTACAGGAAAAAAAAAAAAAAGAACATGTTTTCAATTCATCATCTTAGTGGTTGAATCAATTTTGAGGCCTTTATGACTCTTTTGCCCCACTTGCGTGTGACCAGCTCTAATGATCTTTCAAGTTCATCACAAGCTTTAGAAAGATCTTCCTCCGTGATCGGAGATTCGTTCTTCAGGGCAAATATTACTTCATTGACATCATCGTCAAGCTTGAGGTAGAGGAGGCTTTTACCAAATACCTGCCACCCAAAAAAAAAAAGGCTTATACATGAAATGATTTTCGAATCATCTTCCTTTTAATTTGTGGCCTTCTCACCTTCTTTAAAGTCGAATATACTGCAGTTGTCGCAGCTGGGGACCTCGAGGCCAACCTAATGATGAATAAACCTTCCTCGGAAAGGGAGTTTTTTGCGTTCTGAAGAAAAGATTCCTCAACAAAATCTGCTGCAGGGCAGATCAAAGCAGAACTGGCACAAGAAAAGTAACAAGATGAAACAAATGAAAACTCGACAGATCAGATCAATAAAGATGATATTAAAAGCCACTGCATAATTGCCTTAAGTTTGGCGCGTCCTTATCAACTATGAGTATGTCTAGTTTGGAAGAGGATTCTCCTTCTGCATGAACCACAGTACAGTGCAAACCTTCAGTAACTCGTAGTTGAGCATATCATTCTTTGTTTGTTCAATCGACTTAAACTTTTTGCTACCTGCCCCAGAATCTGCTTTATCCCTTACAAACTGTATTCCATCAGTTATACATACCTGAAGCGGAAAGATAAGAAATAAAGGCAACAGGGAAAGAATATTAGCTTCTTTTAAGATTTCAGAACCATGACACGTGTATTTTTACAGCGTAAAAAAGTTAACCAATTGTTTCTTCAACATTGAACTCGTATGATGAGAATGCACCCCCCTCACCCCACAACCAACAAACAAAATGACAACTATAATAGCAACTAAATAAATAAACAAATGCAGTGATAAAAATTATAATTACATAATAGTATTAGAATGTAACAAGGCATAGACAAAATATTACATCCTAGTCCTAAAAAAAAAAGAGATTAATGCAATTGAGCATAAATACTCTTTGTGATCAAACTGTATAGATTGTTGAAACATTTCCTCCCCATTTCCTCATGCTCCATATTTAAATTTGATCACATTTTGCAGAAGAAATCCAGTGAAGATACTAAACAAAACACATTCTCACATTTTACACCTACAAATATTTATCTTAATCTAAAAACCTTTCTCAAGAAAACGTAATGGAGAAATCTCGTTACGATGAAAACCGTATAGGCCTTCGATTTGCTTCTAGTTAGTAAAAACAAAAACCCAGGAGTTAATACAGTATTTACCCGTAATTTCTCATCTTCTTTAAAACCAAAATGTTCTTTAGCAACATCCAAAACCACCTGATCTAGCTCGACAACCTGTGAAGAAATCAAGAACTTGCATGAGGACATATAGTAGCAGAATAAAAATGGTACAAATTAAGTGGTTCAGAATTTCATTATACCTCAATGTTTAGATTAGGCATCCAATTTTTCATAAACATAGGAAGCAATCCCGCTCCAATACCGATAACCACTGTTTCGAACTGGGAAAGAGTAAAAAGGCACCTTCAGTATGAGAGCTTATAATAATTATATAATAACTAGTGATAATATGATTTTAACTTTAGAACTCAAAATTTAGACATCAACTGCAAGCCTTTGATATCCTTGCTCTCTTGCATAAAACTCATATAATCAAAAAGAGTTCCACTATAGCAAGAAGATATTGATATGCAATTACGAATTCTATATAACACCATTACTGTTATTGTTAATATTGGTCATAGTACTGTTTTAGTTTTATTCCTGTGCTTTTTTGTTTGGCGGGGATGGGGGGGAAGCAGAAATGAAGATTCATTATGCTTTCAGGAGAAAGTAGATGGCTCACCATGCACTCAGTGGAGCTAGATCCTTTCAGATGTAGAGAAATTAACATCAATCCAGAAATAATCACATTGTGGTATGGACGTACCAAATAGTTGTGATCAACTTTCCCTTCATAACAAAGACAAGAAGGACGATAAACAGAGCTGAATACCATTGTGACTCTTATACTGCAAACGTTTAAACAGATTGAACTTCACTAACAATCTGCACTGCTACTTAGTTTCATATTGTTAGTACGAAAAGAAGTTTCACTAGAACCGGTTTTACTAAAACGCCTAGATATATGTCCAATCTCAGCCACTAAAATGCCTCCAATTTAAGATACAACCAACCAGGAACTTTAAAAAATTGCGTTCTAAGTGAACAACACATGCCTAATTTTCGACTAAGATTTTCATTATTTAAAGAGGAATGAGTGAGAGAAAGAGCACAAAGCGGACCCTCACCGTAAGACCTAGATGGGCGACAATAAGATCTCTGCTTTCCTTTCTTCACTTTTTTCCCCTCTATTTGACCTGCTAAAAGAGCTTCTGATTGCACCATATTCGCGGATCTTTCAAAAGTAAGGCGGCGGAATATCAGATCTCTATAGTCAGATACCAAATCAAGATCTTCATCATATTGATCAAGGTCAAGATAGATCGCTTCATCTACAACAATTGTACCCGCCAAGGCAGATGTAACCTGGATTAACCAAACCAAAGAAACATCGAAAATGAACAAAAGAGATGGGAACTTAGAGCCGCATAGACGATGTCATAGAACAAGAAGGGATCAGTCAAGGTCTCAAGTCAAATGTATTATTATCTTCCTTCCCAGGTCAAATGCCTGGATTATAATTTCCATCAAATAAGAATAGTACCGGTGTTTACCATTATGAGCATATTAAATTTGTAATTAGGGTACTCAAAAGAACCAGACTACAGAAGTTAGGTATTCTAAACATGAAGGGACGAGAACAACGATTAGAGATCTTGTAAAATAAGAATATTACAAGACATAGTAACTATGCAACCTGGTGTACAACTTCTCGCTGATAAGTTCCGTCATTTATGTGCATAAACCTGCAAAAAGATCCATTAATCATACCCTCTACATGTGAAAAAAAGATAAAGTTCTGAAACCAAGAAGCCAATCAACCAGCCCTATCTGCTTTAAACTTTGTTGAATCTTAAGCACCTAACATAATTCCACTCAATGCACAGAAATGCCATCTATTAAATGATTCTCCATCTTCCACTCTCCTTTGTTTCAAATGCTTATTTGTTTGTTCCCCCAACAAAATGGCAAAAATTGCATGTATCATACAGTTCTTTGATCCTCTTACAGACAATGTAGTCACATGGTTTTCTCAAAGATGCTATCATAATAGCAATCCCAAAACACATGCTATGGTCTTCAAATTTGTATGAACTTGCTCGGTGTATTGATTGTCAAAATATGACGAAAGTTAAACTGAGAACTGGTTCACATAGACAGTATTCTAGGTACCATACCCGAACCAAATTATTATACCATTTTAGTAGGAGAACTTGCACATTTAAGACTGTAACTACATCTAAAAAAGATGACAGATACAAAATAAAAATGGTTCTAACTGATGCAAACTTGTAAGCTACAAAAAGAAAAAAAACACGTCAAATGTCGATATATCACTTTTCAAGTGTTAAACACTCACACGATACCAACATCACAACACAGGTTATTGACTAAAACTAAAATCACATGCAAGGCATCAAGGCCTCTATCCAGAACAAACTATGGTTTTCAAATATTTATAAACTTGCCAAGGCGAATTGATGGTGAAATCTAATATTGGATATCATATTAGTGGATATATAGCTGCTGATGAGCACTTACGGAAATGTATCGCTATCATCACATTCTCTTGGAGCCAATTGCCTGACTAAAGGAGTGAGATATTTCTGAAATAAGGATAATAATTCATCAAATGTAATGCAAGCCAGAAACTTATAGCTATTGAAAATACAGTTGGATATTACCTGGATAAGCTCCTTAGGAACACAAGAATTGCTAGAATCTAGTAAAATCTAAAACAATGCAAAATTTTGATAATTAAAAGGTGAGATACAAAAAGACAAGATACAGGAAGAAATTAAATTAAGTTTATCCGTCCAGGAAACACTTACGATCAGTAATCTAGACGCCTTCGAGTTTGCGATAAGGTTCTTTTGTCCTTCTTCTGATGAGAAGATCCAGTCATCAACTCGTATCTGATATTAAAAATTTAGTCACACCACAACTGGCATTAAAATTAGTTTAAATAACGCAAACTTTTTAAAAAGAGTTTAAGGGACACCTTCAAACTACTAATAGGGAACAAGAAAACTAAAGTTTCAAGGTATATCAAATACTTTGAAATTGGACAATCGAAATCACTGAAAAAACAAGGAAATGATAAACGTAATAAATAAATGAAAAACAGTGCAGAAAATGGTGCATGCTAGTTGTAGCTGCTATAGTTAGCATAAGTACAATGGTAAAAAAAAAAAAAACATAACCAATATTATCCTTTTGAAAACAGCTGAATGATAAATTAAATGACTGGATGAGATTCTACCCAAAAAAGTAGTTTATAACAAACAAAGAAGTTCAAAGATGTCTAATTTCAAACATTACTGAACCGAGTGGCACCACAGAATATAAGTAAAATAAAGAGCCATTTGGAACTTACATGTGGAACGGGTAATACAGCAATGTGATATAAGAAAGGGTCTGAATTTTGCTGAGCATCAATAAGTACACCCTTATAAAACTGGGATCCTTCCGGTTCACCTAAAATAAGATTTATCCTACGACCTTCTTCAAGCTCTTTAAGGTTTCCTTTCGCCCCAAGCTTCAGATCTTTAAGTGAATACAATACATCACAGCCACTGCAGTACTCTGACCGAAACTTTCTTTCTCTTTCAAGTGCATTGTAGAGTTCACAAACCTAAAATACGTTGAAAAGATTAAATCTCTTTTCACAGATATAACAGTAAACAATATGTTGAACTGAACTAGCAAAGAGCATCAAAAGCACTCAGCCTAAAGCATCTGATTAGCATGTATACTGAATGTATGACGAAGAAACTGTGAGTATAAAATACTGTTTCGTCAAAAACTATTTCAACTTATTTCATTCCTTCAAAGGGAAATGGAGCGTAAAAGAACAGAAAGCTGAAAGTGCTTTTACCTGATTACCATGAGATTCAACAGAGTATTCATCCATGACTGATATCTCATGAACAGAAGCACAAATATCTTTCTCAATGACCACCATAAAGGTCTGCAGTTCCTTAGAAATGGTATGAAGACTCATTTTCCATCCAAATCGGAACATGGAGAAAAGTATATCTGAGAAAAAGGCATATGATGGAAAAGGATAATCACAGCTCAGAACTGCACAGAACATATATTTAATTACAACATTTGAATACGAGGAACAATACCTGACACACGGGATTCTGCTTTGGTGAGACAAATATATTTTCCGCCAGGTTTTAAAAGCCTTTTTACCTGGTCATGCAAAAAAAAAAAAAGAACAAGATAAGTCAAGCTTTTGGACGACTCAAAAAAACAAGATGCAAGTCGGTTTCACGTTCGAATAATACACCTCAGACAAATACCGTCTCCCTAATCCAGAGCCAAGCTCAGGCACCATTAACGCATCCAATCCTCCGTTGTCGATGATGGCATCGATGGTCTTATCTTCGTACTGAACGGAAACAAAAAAAAAATTAGAAATGATAATTTGGCATTGATGAAACAATATCATGAATACGCAGCTAGATGCAAGTATTCAAGTACTTCAAAATAACGTGAATGAAAATATATACCGATCAGAAGCATAACGACTTATATTGCAAATTTGACGAAATAAATATTAAAAGACAGTATGCAAATTTAGCAAGAAATAGCTAACATAACTGACTGTATGCAAGTTATTTAATTGAATAAAGTCCTACATTTTCTGTATGTACAACTATCCATCGGTAGCGTTGGTGATTGGTAATCAACCATAGAAACCACAGAAACTGGAGGATTTATTTTAAACAAGGAACCATAACTAAATCATCAATCAAAATAATAGAATTAATTCATTAAAATATGTGAAAACATCGGTAAAAGATAGGGGAATGAGAGAACAACCTGTTGAAAGTTAAAGATATAAACAGGATTATTCAAATACCAGAAACTTGGATGTGCAGTCAGTTATGTAAGCACTAATTCCACGTTAACAATTTTATACAAGTTTTCGTTTTGTGCTCGTGCAAAGAAAATGCCAATTCGGCCCAATCAAAGGGGGAAAAGACATTCAAGGAGTTTGCTTACTTTCCTCCAAAGTTCTCAGTGTTTGCATATATGATAACAAAATAAGAAGATCGAAAAAAATCTATCATTACTAGCTTTTAAGTTTCCCTATTTACTGGATTCCAATCCAGTACAACTGTAATTCAAATTATATTTTTCTGCACCAATATTTCCACAAACTCAACAAGTCAACGTTCTAGTCAGCCTATTCGTCTAACTCAACCCCCGTAGACAACCCATCTCAAGGTAACACAAGTTAAAACTATTATAACATTTTGAAATTAGGTCTCCAACATCCCAAAAACAACAATAGGAAAACAATGAGAATACATAATATATCATCAATTAATGAAGTGATTTTTTGCATTGTTTTAGATGAAGAAGACAAAACCAGCAATTACCTGAATTCTGGTGATGTCCATAACTCGCCACTTCATCATCGGCCGTTCGCTCAGGTTCCTCCTCAACATGTGAGCAATCGCCACCTTTGAGAAATCCAGGTTCGTTATATTCGTAAACCCAGCATCATACAAATGCTCAGACAGCTCAGATTTCCCACATTTCGGCACCAGAATAGCCATCTCCGCCGCCAGTACGGCCGGAGGCGCCTCTCCGGCGGTTTCCGGCGGTAACAATGACGGCGATGAGAGCTGCTCCGTGAGTAAGCTCTCGAGTTGGGGCCACTCGGCATACGACTCGGAGGAATCATCGCTGCCAATTTCGTTGAGAAATTCGTCCCAATTCTCTCCGGTCGTGCAGTCTCCAACGGACTTGGACGAATCTGGTTGATTTTCCGCGGCGGTGCTGCTGTTTTCCTGCGATTGTTTCTGCTGTTTCTTCTTCTTTCTCCCCATTTATCAATGGCGATTCGTTGCTGCGTGTTTTCGGTGTGAAATGCGGTTACTGTGTTTTCAGGGGGGTTTAGTTTTGCGAATTGAAATGAAAGAACGAGTGAATTAAAAAAAGTTTCACGCGGCAATTTGGAATAATTGGAGAAAGATGCGAGCACCGCAACTGTTTATTGTTCGTAATTTTAGTATATTTTCAACTTCAGTAAACTAATATATATATATATTTTTTTTTTATATTAATCACCATGGAAATTAATAATAGTGAGTTGTTTTCAAAAACCAATTTAACAAATTCAAATAAAGAACTGAAATGTTATTTATAGTGCTCTTTTTACTGACTTATGACAGTGCGACTTTATTTTATTTGTAACTTTCGAACAATATAAATCACAACTCTTTCAAACAATTTCCGAAACATGCGCATTTCGTGCTACTGAGCAGGAAAAGAATTGAAGAATTCCGTGTAAAGAAGCACAGAATAGTAAGGTTTTAAAGTTTATAGTACGAAGCACGAAATTTTGTATTTAAATTGGCAAAAACCCCCATCACACAAGTGTAATTACAATGAGTCTAATTTTTTTTTTTTCATTTTTTTAAGATAAAATCCAATTCAGCATTTACTAATAAAATGTAATAAATTATCACAATTATACCCCTAACTTAAAAGTAACGTATATTTTATAATTGAAAAAAAAATATGTAATTGTTGTAAAATGGCCTATTTATCTGCTCTTTGGTTTGTGTTTGTGGAAATACATAAGAATGTAAATAACAAGAATCCGTAGAGAGAAAATTGTGGGTTATTTAGGGGAGGGGAGATTCTCATTTATATAGGTGTAATCCACCGAAAGTTACAAAGGAGTTACATAGGAGTTACAACCGCTACAATGTGTGGGGATAATGAGGTAGTGGGAAGTTGAGAATCTATAGTGGAATATGGAGGTTACAACCTCTCATGTGTTAGGATAGGAAGACCCACTTTTACATATTATTTACAACACTCCCCCTTGGGAATTCCTATCAAAGCACTACTGTGCTTTTCATGTTGCCTCGTTAAAACCTTCCGAGTAATAAAAAACCCAGTGGGAAAAAAACAACCTCGGTTAGGAAAAAGAGTACAACGCACAATCTTTCCAATCAGCATGTGTTGCCTCGTTAAAACCTTGGCGAGTAACGAAAACCCCGTAGGAAAAATAAACCTCACACACAGGAAAAAGAGTACAACAAGGCACCCGGGTATCTTCTGGATACTGAGTACCTACACGGTACTCCCCCTCAAGTTAACTCCCCCTGATATGTACAAGGGAGTGAACTCGGATAATCTACTCAAGTCAATAGCCTTAACATGTTTTCAAAAGTTGACTTTAGGCAAAACTTATTCTTAAAGTTGGAGCAGTTATCTCAAATTTTGATCTGCGGGATCATTATTTGTTTAGGCTATTGTTGTTGCTGATTGAATAAAACTTCAAAGCTATGTACATTGAGTTGTCACTTTAATGAAGCCCGTCTTCATTTGCTCAATGCATACTGTATTACAGTAAAATACAATCTCGTAGGATCTTATGTGTTAGTCAATTCACAGGAATCTCGAACATGCCTAATCATGGCATCAGGCCATGTGCATTCACTCACTATCTCGTGAAACAAACATCATGCATGATTTGATCTAGTGACAAATGATGTACATTTCATAGAACCCCAAGACATAGCTATTTTCCCAATACTAAACCATGGATTGGGAACGAGCTTTTTGTGGATATGACTTCTATTCAATGCCAATATAAACCACAAGTTTCGCCTCATTCATAGATGCATAGGGTGTGTCGGTAAGGTGAGATAAGTCTATCTTATAAATTTACCGAAAAAGCTAAATCATATCGAGTACATGGAGTTAAGCATAATAATGCATATATTGCATTTACATATGGCACTTCTGGTGCTAACACTTCCTCGTCCTGCTCCATGGGACGGAATGAATCATTGGACCTTTTCCACTTTCCAGCTCCCATAGGTGTTACTCGATAATTTCTCTTTATCCATAACATCTTCTCGATGTAATTCGATTGATGGACATAAATATAATTGACATGATAATTGATAATTTTAAGTTGGCAGAGACAACAAATTAGTCTCATTTAGATCTTTGATCTTGAACTCAAATTTTCAACAATTGAGTTTCTCTTACTTGATTTCTTCAGGAGTCCAAATCAAGTTCATGTCCTTAAACATAAATTGTAGTAATGGGAACAATCAAAATCAATTATTGTTCACATATTCTCTTCCGGAGCAATTACTCACTTAGGATATTATCATATTCTTCCGGAATATTTCAAGCCTCAATTTAAGTAAACGTCTCAGCCCAACTAAGTTTATGTTCCGTGGTCTGGAACTAATTGTTTCGGGGAAACATAGTCCTTTAGGGACTTTCATATAAATATTTGTATCTAGATCCCCGTAAGATACTTTGTGACCACGAATTTAATAACATTCACCATGAAAGAGTATACCTCTTTAAAATCAATCTCGGGTTGCTGAGGAAATCCTTGAACTATGAGATGAGTCTTCGAGCTCCCAATCTCATTTGCTCTTAAATCATTGTACAATGAGATGAGTCTTCTGGCTCCCAATCTCGCCGAGCTATGAGATAAGTCTTCTGGCTCCCAATCTTGTTTAATTTATGAGATGAATCTTCTGGTTCTCAATCTCATTTCATTAATTGAGTTATGAGATGAGCCTGGCTCCCAATCTCGTTTGAGCTATGAGATGAATCTTCTGGTTCCCAATCTCATTTGAGCTATGAGATGAATCTTCTGGTTACAAATCTCATTTGAGCTATGAGATGAATCTTCTGGTTCCCAATCTCATTTGAGCTATGAGATGAATCTTCTGGTTATGAATCTCATTTGAGCTATGAGATGAATCTTCTGGTTCCCAATCTCATTTCATTGATTGAGCTATGAGATGAGTCTCCTGACTCCCAATCTCGTTTAAGCTATGAGATGAATCTTCTGGTTCCCAATCTCATTTTATTCCTTGAGTTATGAGATTAGTTTAATGGCTCCCAATCTCGTTTGAGGTATGAGATGAGCTTTTTGGCTCCCAATCTCGTTTGAGGTATGAGATGAGCTTTTTGGCTCCCAATCTCATTTCTTTTCTTTGTGAGTACTCACTTATATCCCATGGGTGAAATTCAAGGAGTTGTAGGAACTACTGGTCTCTACACTCTTCATTTTATCAAGGAATCAAATTCAGCTTGGATTGATTTTTGTTTTCATTTCGGCCATCATCCATTTGTTTACGCTTATCAATTGATCGAGGTTTTATATCATCACTCGATTAAAAGTTCAGTAGCTACTGTGTAGAGAAGTTTATCATCGATGATCATTTCATCCCAATACCACATCTCATTCATGCATGAATAACTAACCGAGTTTTTTCTATTCACGGAAATGGATATTAATGTCGAGGCGTCCCCCGACTTCGTCTACAGGACGAATCCATAGTCCGAAATTAGTTGATGAGATGGATCAGGTGGGATCCCATTTGTACTATTGCTAACCGGATTCGATTGTTGGACATTCATCCACTTTCGGGGGTGAGAATCCTTTGGTCCCATTGCGCTCCCCCTCTCCTAGTAAGGGATGCAAGACTTGTTAGCATGGATTGATGGCCTACCCGTCATTGTCCTTCTAGGGCATCTATCCTAGCAGGCTTATTAGAGATCTCGTCACTTTTTCAAACCATAGAATGAGTCTGGCATTATTCGCCATACACGACTTCACGCTGTTCTTCAGGAACATTAGTGTTGACATTCTTTGCAGATTTAGTAGTCGTCCCACACGACTTCACGCCGTTCTTCAGGAACGTTAGTGTGGATGATCTATTAATCTATATATCAATTCTCTGTAAGAGATCTTGATGAAACACGGTGGGGTCGTCCCACACGATTTCACGCCGTTCTTCAGGAACGGTAGCGTGGACGTTCTTTCCTCCCCCTAACGGCGGGAAGACAATCTCATCAAAGTGACAGTCCGCAATTTGAGCGGGTAAGAGATCGCCTGTCTAAGGTTCTAAATTTTAGTTGAAGATGGTGATACATAGTCCACATATATCTCCTTGGATTACCTCCAAGAAATGAATTGAATCATTATATGTATGTGCGTATGCTGACATATAATCAAATTACTTAATTTCGAGCAATCAACAACTTATGCTTCTGGCATAACCGTGTCGACAATTCCTCTAATTTTCCCAATGTACGCTTCTGGCCGTACATGTTAGAGATGATGCACATATATTCGATTTCTTGTCTTCAATGGTTTCAACATAATAACCATTAGCTCAAATATCTTTAAAGTTTTAACAACGTTCTACTGGAACGTGGAGAAAAAATGAGCTACTTTAATGGGCAAAATTGTGCCATGAGATACATAATTTGGACATTATCATAACCATCTATCAAAACTACATGTGCCTCATTTAGTTATCAAAGAGGTCTTGCAACAAATAGACATGTATTTAATAAAGTACGACTTATCTCTCAGGATAGTATGTGTTGCCGCACTATCTACCAGACATTTACCCACACATGTCGTGTCTAGAGAGTTATATAAATTTAATCATATATATATTCAGTACTTCAGGTACTAAATAAATTCATCAAGCAACACCACTGAATAACATAATAATTAACTTAGAGCATAAATATCTGGTCTAGAGCATAAACTAGACATAACCAAAATATGAATATGGTTCCTAACATGAGCATATGAAGTGAGATGATTGAAATTCAATAAACTAATAAAGCCGAGTAATAAAATAAACATAATGCATGAAATCAACAGTTCAATGATATCCCAATATTGGTTATTTGGTCAGATGTGCCCAAGTATGGAAGCTGAGTGACGCGCTATACATTGAAAACATTTACCTCTACCAACTCAGTCTATGCTGGTGTATTATTATTTGTATCTCCAGCCCCAACGTTCTTCGCACTTCAGGTGCGCGACCAATACTTAGATCCACCATATATAAAACATATGTGTATGTTCTGATTTTTGAGTTCTATTGGGATTTTAAAATTCATATACAAATCGTTTATGAACATTTGCTCTTTGCTTCAGGCAAGCGTATTGTCTTTTGGTAATCAAGACGACTAGTGAGGTTATCCCATTCTTTATGGGGACCCTTGTTTGATGAAT